CACAGCCATCGCGATTGCGCGAACTCCTACCAGAAATTCGTTGCGCCGCCCTTGGGGGCAAAAAACGGTGAAAGCTAACGTACGAAATCAGAGGGCAGCACACGGTGCGATCGCGCGACCCTGCCCGTGAGCAATCTCCCAACTCATCTCTGGTGCATTCAGAGGAGAAAAGCGGTTACCGATGAGTTGGGAACATGTTGCGATTTTCTGCTGAAAATGGCGATCAGAATCAGAGATGAGTTGGGAGATTGCTCGCGGGCAGGGTCGCGCGATCGCATCGTGTGCTGCCCTCTGGTTTCGTACGTTAGCTTTCACCGTTTTTTGCCCCCAAGGGCGGCGCAACGAATTTCTGGTAGGGGCTCGCGCACTCGCGATGGCTGTGCTATCTACCAGTTGCCGTTGGCGGCTCACGTATTCGCGATGGTAATACCATGCGGCAGTTGACGGTGGTGGCTTACCATTATGGCAATCTCCCAACTCATCTCTGCCAAATCAGAGATGCTGGTTCGACGTGGATTAAATTTCTCAGCGTCTTTCATATCATCTTAAAGAGTAATAAATACTAAAAGATATTAATTATAGAGTATAAATTCGAAGCACTTCTGGATATTAGAAAACTGTAAGGTTCCTTAATTCGGAGTCTTGGAATTAAACAATATACAGGTCCACCAGTTTCAAAATTTAAGCCATTACGGTTTTCGAATTAGCGACTGCGTCCTCCCCGATATTTATAAATCAGCTGATAAAAATTTAACAGTCACGCCCGATCTCTCTTGTTTTTAAGCTCTGGATATAATTATCTCGTTATTACATAACGAAAAATAATGGCCGTTTCGGGTATCCGAAGAAAGGACCTTCGGATCTAACGGAAATCGGCTAAATGAATATTAATAATAATAAATGCAGATATAAAATGTGAGATATTATATCTAGGGTATGTCGCTTAACTCTGCCATGTCTTTCAAGTGGTAGTTTGGAATTTATTCTCAGTAATATTACATTTATCAGTTTCTGAGTTTCTCTCGTTAATATGCTGACTTTTCTTTTTAAGTTAGATGATGCTTTTTCATTTCTCTTTACCCTGTCGTAATCAGCGTGTGATACTTTTATCGTTTCTTCATTAACTTGGGAGCGATAGTTTATTTGTATTTCTGGATTATTTTATTAACATAATCGACGTAGGCTTCTTTTGCGGCGTTTTGAGAAGTGCCCTTCTTGCCGTTCCAGGCGTCCCATTTCGCTCGGCCCTTTCTGTCCAACATTCCGGGTCTCTCTGGAATGATTTAATCGTTAATAACCTCTTAACATATCGAGGAAATTTAAATACATGAATATTGCAATAAACCTCGACTGGAGAAAATGATTTTAATTCATTCTAATTCGGTGATTATTATTCTGGGAGAAAAAAAAGGTTAGTTAACCGTTCTCTTGATTTAGCAGATAGTCGCGTTGTTGCTGGAAATGATTAAGGGGAAAAATGAAAATGGAAAGCAAAATGAAAATAAAAATGAAGAGGCTCTTCCTGTCCAACATTCCAGGTCTCTCTGGAATGATTTAATTGTTAATAACCTTTTAACATATCGGGGAAATTTAAATATATGAATATTGCAATAAATCTCGACTGGAGAAAATGATTTTAATTCATTCTACTTCGGTAATTATTATTCTGAGAGAAAAATAGGTTTGTTACCCGTTTTCTTGATTTAGTAAATAGTCGCGTCGTTGCTGGAAATGTTTAAGGGGGAAAATGAAAATGAAAATTGAAATGAAAATGAAGAAGAGCCAAAGGTCATTCCAGAGAAATTTCTGGCACAGATATGTATCGATATTTCGAACATTTTCGAATACAAATGTATAGTCAAACCGGGAACAAATGCGCTCGAAATGAACACTAGACAAACGTGTACTATTAAGTTAATGCATAAATAATTGCATTTTTTTACACGTAACGTAACGTGTAAAAAAACAGTGTTCTGTAATAGCTATATTATATACCAATGTTTGCTGGGAAAGAGCCTGGTTTTATCTACATTATTTTCCCTATCGGTGGACTTACGGGTATCAATATCGCCAACAGTTGCCTGTTTAAACAATGCATAGAGTTCAAGGAGCTCCTCATTCGTGGGGAGTTTTGAGATATTCTTTACCTCTACGGCCGCAGTCTCGAATCTCTAAAATATGAAATTATTATAAATATGTCACTGATACAAGTACTCGTTGATTTTTTTAGGGAGAACTCCGCTCATTCCCTCCCTAGTAGCACAACATATTTGTCCTATATTTTCTATATATTTAAAGAATATCGTACATTTTGTTAATATTTGCCAGACATTTGAAACATTTGCAAGACGTTTACTTTAGAATATTATCCCTATAATATTTATATAATATTACCTCCATGTGTTTTCGTAATTTTTTTCTACCAGATATATAAAACATTTCGTTTCATTTTAATGCAAGTACTTTTTAAATATTATCTGTCGAATACATTATAAACGTTTTAAGAATATTTAAAATTAAAATCACGCGTTTTGCTACCATGATAAAACAGCGGAACGAAAGCGTTGTAAACATTTTTCGTGTTTCTTTTTTTTTTCTTTTATACCAACCGAAGTGTCCGATAATAATAGTAAAGTAAAAAATGTATTTCTATTATATGTTTATAAATTAAAAGATATAATTTCGATACATGTTTCTAAATTATTAAAGCTAAATATGTCATTGAAATTTTCAACAAATATTTTAGACATGTTCGAATGAAATCTACAAGACATTTTGAAAAATCTGCCGCTTGAGATATTTAGGAAAGATTACGAAAAAAAAAACATTTTGAAATTATTCCGTGCTACTAGGGTAAGTCGATTAATTTTAGGCATTCGAATGAACAACGAGAAGTTCCTTAACTATTGTAAATTTCGTAGATTTATTTTCAATTGCTTTCGAGGGACTAATGAAGCAAATTCTGTTATGAAATTGTACATCGGTCGACCTTTAATACCGCGATGACTAGGCACACTTAATGACACTCGTGAATTTTTTACTTATTCCTCGAATGACTTACGACAATGGAACACATACACCAGAAATATATTGTTTATCGAAGGTCACGATTAATGGAGAACGTGGCACGGAATGGCCAAATAGTTGGAATCTCTCTTTACTTAATGATCTTTCATTAAAACGTTTAATTATTCTTTACTTCACACGTGGCACAAAAATTGTTTATAACGCAAAACTTGCACTAGACGTTGGTTCATTCCTTTAGATATTTACATTCCTTAATATTTAATTCGGTTCTCTTGCTGGAGCGACAAAATTAATCAGATATTCATTTATAACGTGGCAGGGCACTCATATCACCATTGCTAATTAATTTATAATCTATTGTTTGTTATTTAATTTCACGGTTTCCGCGTGTTTGCTTGATTACCTCATTAAGGGCCTTTTTGCTCGAGTGTGTGGCATCATGTGATAATTAATTAACCATGATAAGGCAGTACACTATCATCGTATTACTTCTAATTAATTTGTTGATTATACATAGTTTATTCTTTACTTCATTTTGAGATTTCTCTTTCAATTATTTTATTAAGGGCTTCGCTCGAGTCCGTGATACCTCATGATAATTCATGGACCATAATAGTGCGGTATCATCGTACTAATTTTAATTAATTAATTTTTTTATTATTAATTTTATTTCGAGATTTTAAGTTTGCTTCATTTAGTCAGGGGAATATTTTACTAGAGTCTGTGGTATCTCGTGATAATTAACTAGAATAAGGCAGCGCGGTATCGTCGAACTAATTCTAATTTTTTAATTAATTTATTTATTATCTATTTAATTTCGAGGTTCCTTCACGTCTGGTTGATTACCTCGTCAAGGGACATTTTGCTCGAGTCTGTGTTGTTTCGCAGCTTAATGAGAACTGGTTGCAAATCGGAGTTCGTTCTTGGCACACCATCGTTCAGGGCCGGTTTTTCAGGGGCTCCTGAAATCGCTCAGGTGAGCCGCAGGTGGAGACATTCTGAAATAAAATATCAAACAGTAAATATTATATTTAAATTTTACGTTAAATTAAAATTGGCGAAAATTAATCGGGGAAATTTACTGGGAAATGTTACCCTTTCGTTGGGGGAAAATTGAAAGGAAAGTGAGATTTTGTCCGTCATTGAGATGCTGGGGCCACAGGTGGGGGATCCGCAGATCGAAGTCTCCGTAAAGTTAAAAGGAAGAGAGAAAACGACAAAGTTGAAAAAGAGAAAGCTGATTATGTGTGTATATGCGAGGTACGTTTATCGTTTGAGAGATTCGACGCTCCTTGATTCAACAAATGAATTTCCGGGCCGGTCGCAACAGTTCTCGTGTACCGGAAGTGAAATTATTTTATCATAGAAGAGATACGTTAATATAGACAAATGCCTCTTCTATTCTGCGACATATTAATGTCTTCTCTAAATGCTATTATTTAGTATTTCTTGATCCACTTTGTATGATTTTCCAACGTAAGTGGCACAAAAGAATGTCTTGTTTAGCCGCAGCTGTTTTTACATACCGGAAGTAATATTATTATGTCGTTAAAGATATGCATCAATATACGCATAACAAAGTGCCTATTAAACTCTGCTACATGTTACTCCATGTCATTTTGCCGCTTTTAATCAGTAATCTTCAGGTTGATAACGAGATGCATAAAATAGAGAAACGAAATACCATTTCCATTTTGCGACATTAATGTCTTCCCTAAATGTTATTATTTATTAATTCTCGAACCACCCTGTATGATATTCCAACGTAAGTGGCACAAACGAATATCTTGATTGGACTTGTTTTTTGCACCTGTTTTAATATACCGGAAGTATGTGAAAACAGGTGCATTATCTTGATTGGACCTGTTTTCTGCACCTGTTTTCACGTACCGGAAGTAATATTATTATGTCGTCAAAGATATGTATTAATATACGCGTACCAAAGAACTCTTTAAACTCTGCCATATGTTACTCTATTTTACCTTGTCGTTTTTATTTAGTAATCTTCAGGTTGATAGCGAGATGCATAATATAGAGAAACGAAATACCATTTCCATTTTGCGACATATTAATGTCTTCCCTAAATGTTATTATTTATTCATTCTCGAACCACCCTTTATGATATTCCAACGTAAGTGGGACAAACGGATATCTTATTTAGCCGCAGCTGTTTTCACATACTGGAAATAATATTATTATGTCGTTAAAGACATGCATTAATATACGCATAACAAAGTGCCTATTAAACTCTGCTACATGTTACTCTATGTCATTTTGTCGCTTTTAATCAGTAATCTTCAGGTTGATAACGAGATGCATAAAATAGAGAAACGAAATACCATTTCCATTTTGCGACATATTAATGTCTTCCCTAAATATTATTATTTATTAATTCTCGAACCACCCTGTATGATATTCCAATGAAAGTGGCACAAAGGAATATTTTGATTGGACCTATTTTCTGCACCTGTTTTCACGTACCGGAAGTAATATTATTATGTCGTTAAAGACATGCATTAATATACGCATAACAAAGTGCCTATTAAACTCTGCCATGTGTTACTGCATTTTATTTTATCGTTTTTATTTAGTAATCTTCAAGTTGATAACGAGATGCATAATATAGAAAAAAGAAATACCATTTCCATTTTGCTACATATTAATGTCTTCCCTAAATGTTATTATTTATTAATTCTCGAACCACCCTTTATGATATTCCAACGTAAGTGGGACAAACGGATATCTTATTTAGCCGCAGCTGTTTTCACATACCGGAAGTAATATTATTATGTCGTTAAAGACATTTATTAATATACGCGTAACAAAGTGCCTTTTAAACTCTGGAGTGCGCTAATGCACTTTCTTTCGTCGTTTTTATTTAGTAACTCTCAGGTGGACGACGACCAAGATTGCGTTATTTCGCTGATCTTGCAGACGGTTATGAAAGAACCTCCGATGTTACAGTGTTCTCTCTTTCTCCCTCTTTTTTGCGCAATTTGTTTATCGATTGCCAAAGAGAAAAGTACAGACACACGTTAGCCCGCATTCGTGGGGAGGAATGTGGGTCGTTAAAATAATGAATTAAGTGTTCAAGCTTCACGGATAAATGGAAATGCGGAAGAGGCTTCTCCTTACTGTGAAAAGAAAAGTATATAATCCTTGAAGATATGCTATGAAAATCGATATAAAAACAGAATTAAGGTGAACCCGTCGTGAAATTTTATCGACGTTGGTAAAAATGATTCTTCTGAACACCTATGTTACCGATGTCTGTATCTATATCTAGAGCTGCGTAGAATTAAATTCGGTATTGTATTAAATGACATACACCATGTGTCATTTCCGTACAATAATTATAAACAAATCGAAGTAACGCTTCAGAAATCCTCTGGATTCGTGATTTATATATGGTTTTATGATATATTTTAATTGACTGCAGAGGGCCACCTTGCGCCATCTGTATCATTCAGTGCGAACTAAATGTTCTTACCGAGACCTCGTGTTACCTTCACTTTAGCATAGACGTTCATAAGACACCTTTAGATGCCTAAGATGCCTTTATCTCGTTCAAATGCGAGTTCCTCCATTATTAGTGTTCTAAATTGTCGTGCAATTGTCCTAACACTTTCGTTTTTTACATCAGAGCCTTCAATAATTCAATGTATCGATCGAAATATGAGAACTCGATGCCATTTTGGTTCTGGTCCAGGCTGAGTCAAACAAATTTATTTCGAAAATTCAAATTTTGAAAAAGGTAGGCTAATTTTTAGGTGCTCACGAGTCAGATGTCAAAGTTTCGGACAGTTCGGCCCATTACATTAAAAAAAGAGTGCCTAATTCGAGAGAAATTTCACTTCACCTTCTATTACATCTCTTATATGTCACTTTAAGGTGAAGAGTAAAAAAAATATATATATATTTTTTTCATGTCAATGTCAAAATATTTATAAAACTTTTCTCCAAACTGGGTGCACCGAATAATGTCAAACTTTAACACGTGATATGGAGGCCTTTAAGGAAAAACGCGATGTTCGTTCAATTTCATTTTTCATAAAAAAATGTGACTTCGGTTTTAGCCTAGGCTAAATAAAAAAGAAATTTGTTTGTAAAAGGAAATTTCATGAGCATCGTATTCTTCCTTAGGGCCTCCATAATCACGTGTTAACGTTTCAAATGATTAGGTGCATCAAGGTTGGAGAAAAGTTTTATCAATATTTGGACTTTTTGATATATAGCATGGCCCTTTTATATCACCTTACCCCTTTGACTACTAAAGCCGTTTAAATGCGTCTGACGTTAGTTCCAATGTTGTCTACACGTATAGGTGAATTTCGCCCATATGTCGAAAGGGTTATATACTCAAAGTGTAATATTGGTTACAAAGGTTATATGGTTATAAAGGACACACTCCTCAACCATTAAGAACCCTTTATTTTGGTCTTCTAGGTATGACTCAGTCATGTACTGTCGAACGGTCTGCGTACTTTACACCTCGAATAATCACTGTACTAAGTTCCCAAATCTGTTAACCTATATACTATACGTAGGCATACTTATACACCACACTAAGGGCTAATCGTAGCAATATGCTTGAAATTCTTAATATGAATCCAGATTAGGAGAAGCGTCGATTTTTTTTCGAAAAGCGTAGGCTGATTCTTCGGATCAAAAAGGGGTCAACGTGCCACGTCGTGAAATTCCCCTTGCGGGAGAGTATCGGAGTCCTAACCCTTCCTCTCCCTCGGAGCCAGATTCGCATTCCTGAGCCGTGCGTACTCCTTGCAGAGGATCTGGAATGAAAGAAAAAAGCTTTACTTCGCGGCATGAATGGCGGACTGCGAGGTCTTCCCGGAATCGGTCGGCGCGTCTCGCCGCAGCCAATCAGAAGCGCCGAAGAAGTCAGGGTTGCCATACGCGGGAATTGAATTCCTCCCCACATCGACATTTATTTCTACCAATTTGGAAGAAAATAATACCCAGAAAATGTCTACCTCATGTTTGTTTCAACTTTAGGGTTTTATTTTCAACACCGAGTAGATAGGCTGGCATTGAGTATGGACTTTCTATTTTAATATAGATTTTCAATTCCATTTAAAATTAAATACTTCTAGGGGAAATACGTATAAAGGCGAATTAAACGCTTATATTTGTGCATATTAATGTAGGGTGTATGCAATTGAGTATATTAGAACAGAACCGATCTGAAAGTTACTTGTTCCGTCAATTACAATTTTTTTTTTACTTGTATTTTTACATACTAATATAAGTCCTCATTAAACACACACACAAGTTCTCACGAGTTCTCGATGAAATATTAAATATTCATTTCGCATTTTTTACTAACCTATTTTGAACATACGTTTTACATTTTTTTTATTTTAAATGGGAATCTAGAAACCATTATCCATTTTAGTTATTGAATGGATTTTATGAAAACATGGGTACGATTTCAATACATGGCGTTATATATCCTTATGCTACTTCGTGATATCTACGATATCCCTAGTAGCACAGGATATTTTCTTAACTTTTTTTGCGATCTTTGCTACATATCTCAATAGACAGATTGTTTAAGATGCCTCGTAGATTTCATTTGAAGATATATAAAATATTTGTTGAAAATCTCAACGGTACATTTAGTTTAAATAATTTATATACNAAACACGTGGAGCTAATATTATATAAATATTATACAAATAATATTCGAATATCAATGTTTTACAAATATTTAAAATGTCTGGTAAATATTTACAAAATGTAGGATATTGGTTAAATATATAGAAAATATAAGACAAATATTTTGTGCTACTAGCGATCTAACACGAAATGTCACGCGTCACGGAAAGTATATCCTGACGTCCGTGCGTGCGCGGTCGGTAAACGGTAATTTTACTTTTGTTTAATCAGTGGTCACGTCGGTTAGCGAGTTTATCGGTACAGTCTG